ATGTCCAGCTGGGATGCTCTGAGGGGCCACTCTGCCTTTAGCTGGACACTGTCACCCTCCGGACACTGCCACGCCTCGGTCCAGCAGCTCGAGGCTCCACTGCCCCGGGTGCCCCAATCCCAAGGATACCAAATTTCCAACCAGCAGCGCCTCGAGAGTTCTGGAAGTGCTTTGGGATTTTCGGGACGAGGAACCGCAGGAATCCGGACATGACCCCCACCCCACACAGAGCAGGGGGTGGGATCCCCCAAAATCCACCAGTGTGGCATACAGGGCTCGGTGACGAGAGTTTGTGTCACCCCCAGGTCCCCAGATTTGGGGACAGCCCCAGGAACGGGGAGAGGCCAGAGGAGCGCACGGCRGGGTCAGGGAATGTCCCCCCTTACCTTTCTTCACTTTCTTCTCCTCGTCGCCTTCCCCTGCTCCCAGCAGGGTGAAGATGATGCCGGTCTGAGAGTTGATGCCCACGGCCGTCACCACCATCCTGCCCGAGCCCTCCATCACGTGGGTGCCTGGCACAGGGGAGTGTCACCAACCGCGCCTCCGAGGGGACACTAAAGCTCATCCCGCTCCAGGGACAGCCACCCCCACCCCAGGGTGCTCCAAGCCCCGTCCTGGGGACACCGGGGACACTGGGGACATCCCCAAGGCCAGGACCTCACTGGCCACCCGCACCCCAGGGTGCTCTAAGCCATGTCCTGGGGACATTGGGAACACAGGGGACATGTCCCCAAGGCCAGGACCACACCAGCCATCCCCATATGAGGGGTGCCCCAAGCTCCATCCTGGGGGACACCAGGGACACATCCAGGACAAGGCCAGGACCCCAAGAGCTGCCTCCACCCCAGGGTGCTCCAAGCCTCGTCCCGGGGACACTGGGGACACTGGGGACATCCCCAAGGTCAGGACCCCAAGAGCTGCCTCTACCCCAGGGTGGCTCCAAGCCCCATCCTGGGGACACCAGGGACACCGGGGACACGTCCAAGACAAGGCCAGGACCCCACTGGCCACCCACACCCCAGGGTGCTCCAAGCCCGTCCTAGGGACATTGGGGACACTGGGGACACATTCCCAAGGCCAGGACCCACCGGCCGCCCCAATCCCATCCCAAAGCTGCCCCAGCCCCGTGTCCACCCCAGGACCCTCACCGGACAGCAGCATGGGGTCTTTGTCCATGGATTTCTTGACCTGGTCCGACTCCCCGGTCAGAGAGCTCTCATCAATTTTCAGGTCATTGCCCTGGATCAGGATCCCGTCCGCAGGCAGGAGATCACCTGGGAGAAGGGAAAAACTGGGATCAGCCTGATTGGGTTCAACCCACCCCAAAAATACCCAAAATTCAGGTTTTGTACGAGACAGGCGCAATAAAATGAAATCCACAAATTCCCAAAACCTCATGGGCATGGGAAGAATCCTGGGGGGGGAATTCGCTCAGCGCTTCCCCGTCTGGTTTAACAAATCCATCCCAAATCTCCTTCCCAAATCCTTCCCAGAGTATTTTGGATAYATCCAAAATCTGTTATCCATCTGCTGAGGAGAAAAGAGAGCGGTGTCAGAGCCGCCTCCTTCTCCAAAGGGAAGAAAATTCCCCAGGAAACACGAGCAGGGCCTGGTTTATCCCTGATTTATCCCAAAAGCTGCATCTCCTGGGAAAGAAAATAATCCCAAAGATCTCCTGGATGAGGAAATATTTCCCAAAACCTCCTGGATAAGGAAATATTCTCAAATATCCYCAGAATAAGGAAATATTCCCAAATATCTCCTGAATAAGGAAATATTCCCAAATAT